CCGCCCCCTCCTCTCTGCCTGTTCACCCCCCTCCCTCCTGGCTGCAGCCCCAGCTAAGGCCAGAACCAAGGCCAGCAGATGTTCCCCGGGGGTCCTCGGGATTTAGCAACAGCTCCCACAGCCACTGCCTCATGCCCATTTTACGGAGTACAGTGGGGCCTAGCAAGGGGAAGCCGCCTGTTCTAGGCCCTCCAGAAGCAGAAGGCGGAGCTAGGGACCCATGTGATCCCAGATCATGGTGACTTGGCCACGGTCTCTGTGCCCACACTTGCCCTTCTCCTACCTCCCTGGACTCCACCAGGTCAGGGTGTCCTGGGGCCCTGGCACCCTTTCAGGCTTGGAGACAAATGCTCTCTCCCCGCAGGGCGACTCCGGCGGCCCCCTGGTCTGCCAGAAGGATGGAGCCTGGACCCTGGTGGGCATCGTGTCCTGGGGCAGTGGCACCTGCTCCACGTCCACCCCTGCAGTGTACGCCCGTGTCACTGAGCTCATGCCCTGGGTGCAGGAGATCCTGGCCGCCAACTGAGCCTGCAGCTCCTACCACCCTCAAGAGCCCCCATTAAAAGCATGTGTTCAGAAGCACTGCGTGTGTCTCTGTGTGTGGCCCTGGGGGACATGGGGCTGGTTTCCCGTCACCCACCAAGGGTGGCCCTGCTGCTCCCTGTCTAGGCCTCAGGTTCCCTGAGGTTCTTGTGTCTCCTTACTCAGGACTCCTGCCAGAGCCAATGATCCATGGAACTTTCTGGAAGGCAGGAGTCTGGCCAGGCTAGGCAGTCCATAGCCCTGAAGGGTCAGCCTGGAACCAAGACAGTCTTCCAAGAAAGGTATCTCCCTCCGCCTCGGCTCCAGGCTCCTTTCCCCACCTTCGCAGCCCCAGGTCCAGGGCCCCGAGCAAAGGTCCCCTCGGACTTCTGCTCAGACCCCAGCCTGCGCTAAACTCGGGCTCAGACTAAACTGCAAAGCTCCCGCCGATCCCGCCCCAGTCACCGGCCCCACTGTCCTTTGGGTTCCCATGCTCCTGTCCCCTCGGCTCAGTGTTCTCTGGGTTCAGCCCTGAGGTCAGAGGCGTGGTCGCTGTCACGCTCAGCTGGCTTTCGCCGTAAGACTGGCTGGTTCTGCGAGGCTGGTCTCCCTGGGGCTCCAGGCTGTGTCCACAGAGTCCTTGGAGGGTTGCAAAATGGGGTTATCTCAGTATTTTTAACATTTATTTATTTCCGAGTAAGAGGGAGAGGGAGGGAGAGAGAGCCGCAGACAGGGTCGCAGCACCGTGGTCCACCCCCAGCCGCTACAAGCCCCGTCGTGGACGCGGCATGCCTGGAGGACTACACGGGGGCCCGAGACCTTCATGAACAGCCTTGCAGTGTCGCATTCTGACTGCCGGGTCACCTGCCAGCTCCTCAATGAAAGAGCACTAGGAGCATGGTCTGAGGAAACTCGTGGCAGTGGGGAGGACAGTTCTTATTATTTTATTTTTTATTTAATTGTATTTATACTTTAAAAATTATTTCATTTAAACTTATTTATTTTAATTTGAGTGAGAGAGAGAGAAGGAAAGCGAGAAAGCAAGCGACCAGGTCCTGGACTCGAACCGCTGTTAGCCTGGTGGGAGTCCGGCAACCTTCACCACCACACCACTTTTGGGCCCCAAGAGGACCGTTCTTGAATGCAGGAAAGGACATGTGTCTTATTATGTCAAGGGTCATTTCCGTGCAGGTGAATGCCAGGCGAGGTGACAGATGCACGGACGGCAAGCGCCACCTGGTCAAATCACTCTCACCGGTCACGCCGCCCCGGTAGCGCCCGACCCGCTGGCCGCCCGCGGGTCTAGAATCAGCCTTTTCAGGACACGTTTGCCCCCTGGTGGTCAAAATGAAAACTACATGGCTGCGCTCCGCTGCTCTTCCAGCCGGCGCTGTCCAAGAGACAGAACGGGAGGCAGATGGGTGTTTCTGTTTATTTGAAAAGTTTCGCTCTAAGGTGCGTGTGCTCACCGGAGACACAGGAGAAAGGGAGAAAGCACTCCCTAGGGGGATGGCCACGCTGCAATCCCTTCTCCATTCTCCTCTTGGGATTTTGGGCACACATGCACACGCGCCCGGGTGTGGTTTTTTTCAAGCTGAGTCAGGGACTCAAACCACGCAGTCAGCCACGTGGGATCCAGCCACATTCATCACCACGGGCCCAGCCGATGGCGGAATGATTACATCGCTGGACTGCCATAGCCAACCACAGTTGGAGTCCTGGGACCTGGTGGCTTAAAACTCAGGCCAGAGGGCGGCAGGTGGTGTGGTGCTTAAAGGCACTGGGTTCCCATGTGGCTGACGATGGTTTGAGTCCCAGACCTGGCAGCTTGTTTTCTCACTTTCTCTCTCTCTCTCCCTCCTCTCTCTCTCTCTCACTTTTTGTCCCACTCTGGTGAAATTAAAATGAAAAAAATTTAATGAAATTTAAAAAAAAAACCTACAGGTGCATGAGTGTGTGCGCCCCTCAAATCATGAGAGAAGAATGAAGGAGAAGGGACTGTGGTGTGGCAATCCCCCTGGAGGGTGATTTCTCTCTGTCTCTGTCTCTGTCACCCTATAGCAAAAATCTCTCTCTCAAAAGAAAAAAAAAAAAAGAATCACCACACTACTATGGTGATTTTAAAGATTTTTAAAAATTATTCATTTTTTCCTTGAGATAGAGAGAGGGGAACAGACACACTCAACAGTTCTTTTTTTTTTTTTTTGAGAGGTTTTCACTATAGGGTGCGTGCACTCACCAGACAGACAGAGAGAGACAGAGAGACAGAAAGTGAGAAATCACCCCCAGGGGTGATGGTCACGCCGCAATCCCTTCTCCTCCATTCTCCTCTCGGGATCTTGGGCATGCACGCACACGTGCCCGGCGTGAGTTTTAAGCCACCGGGTCCGGGATGTGAACCGCGGTTGGCTACGTGGGAGTCTAGCGACATAGCCATTACACTAACTGCTGGTTCCCACCCTCAACAGTTTTAAGGTAGAGATCCACCCCTAGCCTAGGACCTCCCCATGTGGGTACGTTACTTCTGTGCCACCCACTAGTACCCAAGTGGGTGAGTGTAGAGTATCTGTAGCCATACTAAAAATAAAAAAAGAAAAAAGAATTTTATAATTACATATTACATATAATTTTATAATATATTTCTTTAAAAATTTTTTTATAGAGAGATTTTTGCTATAGGGCACATGCACTCTCTGGAGAGACAGAGACAGAAAGCAAGAAATCACCTCCCAGGGGGATGGCCACACCGCAATCCCATCTTCTCTATTCTCCTCGCGATTTTGGGCACACATTGCAATTTTGCACACACATCTGGCCTGAGTTTAAAGCTCCCAGGTCTGGGACTCAAACTGCGATAAGCCATGTGGGAGTCCAGCAACGTAACCATTACGCCATCTGCTGGTCCCAATTATTTTTATTCTCTATAGGGCACATGTGCTCATCAGAGAGAAAGAGAGAATGAGAAAGCAAGACACCTGGCCCAGGACTTGAGCTGCAGTGGACCACGTAGGAGTCTAGTGCCCCAACTACCACACCACCCGCTGGCCCTGTTCCACCCACATATACTTACGAGTTTCCCAGGTAGGTGTTATACGAGCAGGCACAGGAAGCCGAAAGCTCGCGTGTAACTAGGGGTCTTCCGTCATTTCCTCTCAGTTTGGAAGCAGCCCCCCGGGGCAGGGCCGCCCATTGGGTTCCGAGTTAGCCCACGTCAGGCAGCGTCCACCCCTCTCCTTTCTCATGCTTTTGCTTTTCAAAAAAATTTATTTAACTTTATTTGTTATTACTTATTTTTGTTTTAACTTGACCAGAGCGAGACAAAGCAAGAGAGAAAAAAGCAAGCCGCCAGGTCTGTGACTTGAACCGCGGTCAGCCGTGTGGAAGTCCAGTGCCATAACCAGCATGCCACCTGCTGGTGACGATTTTGCTTCCTAACTGAAACTGAGAAGCCAGCAGAAGAAAGTCTGGTCAGGTCAGAGGCGAGCGGATGCTGTGAGCGGCTGCCAGGCCCCCTCTAGGCCCCCTCCAGGTCCCCTCTGCTGCAGGGGCGTGGCGGGCAGACAGCTGTCCATCTTCATCTTCAGCGGTTCACCAGCTGCAGAGTATGGTGTTGCCCAAGGCTCTCGCCGCCTGTCCAGGCAGCCCATACCGGTGACTGGTCAGTAGGTGCTAAAGGCCCAGGCTCTTAAAACCTGGCCCGAGGCTGCAGCCGTGCAGGGGTGCAGTGGTGCAGGAGTGCAGGGGTGCAGGAGTTCATGGATGCAGGGGTGCAAGAATGCAGGAGTGCAGGGGTGCAGGGGTGCAGGAGTTCATGGATGCAGGGGTGCAAGAATGCAGGAGTGCTGGGGAGCAGGAGTGCAGGAGTGCAGGGGTGCAGGAGTGCAGGAGTGCCGGGGTGCAGGAGTGTAGGGGTGCAGGGGTGCAGTAGTGCAGGAGTGCAGGGGTATGGTAGTGCAGGTGTGCAGAAGTGCCAGGGTGCAGTAGTGCAGGGGTGCAGGAGTGCAGGGCTGCGGCTGCGAGCTGAGACAGGGATGGGGCGCCAGACAGGAACCTGGGTGGGCGAAGTTCGACTCCCACAGGACCCAACCTGACCTTGCACTCAGGACCTGGGGAGTCCAGCACCGTCTGGACAGAAGAGAGCCCAGGGCGCACTGGTGGGGGAAGAGGGACTGAAGGGCCCCGGCCGGCACGTGGGGCCTTGGGCTGACCCGCAGGATCCGTGGGTGCAGCGTTCCAGGAGGTGTGAGGAATGTTTCCATGGGACGGTGGCAGCAGGAAGGAGTCCAGGGCAGTATGGACGCTGCTGCTGATGGCATGAGGTGCTGGTGGGGCCAGGGGACAGAGTCGCCAGGAGACACCAGCCACTGCAGCAGCCGGGGACCCGGCCCTGCAGAGTGACTGGGTGCGGAGAGAGACACCCGCTGGGGGGAAACTGACTGCGCTGACCAGGGCGCTGTCCTCCACACCACCGCAGTCAGGGCTGGGTGGTTGCAGGCCGGTTGGCCCCAGGTTCGTCTCAGGCCCCTCCAGAGTGGCACCCCAGGTGCCCCTAGTGCTAGAGGCTCAGTTCACACTGACCTGATGCCAGGCCAGACCATGTTTTTGGGGGGAGGGAGGAGGTTTTAGGGGGTTTTAAAGAGATTTTTTGCTATAGGGTGCGTGCGCTCCCCAGAGAGCCAGAAAGTGAGAAATGGCCACACCACAATCCCTTCTCCTCCGTTCTCCCCTTAGGATTTTGGGCATGCATGCACACATGCCCAGCATGAGTTTTAAACTGCTGGGTCCGGGATTCAAGCCACTGTTGGCCACGTAGGAGTCCAGTGCCTTAACCACTATGCACGTGCTGGCCCCCAGACGTGGGCTTTGAGGTAGAAGCTACTTCCCTCGGTGTCCCATGGGGCAGCTGCGACGGTACGAATGTCTCCCCAAAGCTCACTGTTAGGGTTTGGTTGCGACGGGTTAACGGTGAAGACTGGACCACGGTGTTGAAGGGAGCCTTTGGGAGGACGCTAGGGTGAGGATTAATCCGCAGGGCTCCGTGATCGACTCCGGGAGGGTTT